CAGCCCCTACGTGAGTAGTTCACGTTGCTGCTTCAGTGTTGGCCCATAAAGTACCACCTCTGTGACGATCGTGACTATCAAGCTGATTTACCAGGGTGGAGCCATCGGGCACGTTGTGCTTGTCTTGCAGTGGAGGTGAAACAGGTGAAACTTATCTGAGGCTTCATAGCCAGCATTACTGACAGGAAAGTGAAACTTTAACAATTAATTTTGCATATTTTTTTGTGTCAAAAAAGTGTCCTTTTATTCTCATTCTGTTTTCTGAACAGAAAGTTGTTTAAATATCTGGGTTTAGATCTCCATCTCTGTGGTCCAAGTGCATCTTAACAGAGAGAACTTCTGCTGTTCTTACTTCAACCATCTGCTTTTCTAGTTCAGTTTTTGGTATGAAAAATGCACACGCTGTCCATGAGAAGGACTTCTGCGAGAAGTGTGCTTAGCCTGGAGAGCTGGGATGACGATTGGCTCAAGAAGGGGGGTGAGGCTTGGACCGGGATGTCCTACAAGGACAGGAGCGTTTGGAGCGGGGTAGGATTCCTTTGGCTCTGGTGCAGGGATAGGGCGGTGGGCTCAAAAATGGGTCATGAAGGGAGGGAACGAGGACCCCAGTGAGAGCAGCCGGGGCTGCTTCTGCTGGAMGTTGTCCATGGAGGGAGACTGTGGTGGTGCCCCTTGCGCTCTGCTCCTAGGGGCCTGCAGGTTCCTCTGCCCGTGACAGGTACTCCTCTCTGCACACAACTGGCTGCACGTTTCTATCTGAAAATACAGCTTGACAGAGTGCAGGGACTTCATCTTTTGCGAGAAGAGCCAGAAAGCCCCAGGGGACCGGGGGCCCTCCTGACAAGCAGCGCAACTTGGAGTGATTGCGCGTTGCCCTCCTGATCACGTAATATGATGGATGCAAAGGGGTTTTGACTTGTACAATAGCCCCTGCTGCCTTTCATCTTCCCCCTCTTCCTGCTGAATCAGGGAAAACATACCCAGGGCACGAGCATTTTTGCCTCCCCACAGCCAAACTCTCACAGCAGTTTCCCCATGTCCCTCTCTGCTCATATGGGACTTGATCATTTCTTTGGATTTACTCTGCTTCCCAACCGGGCATAGCACTGAGGTACAGAGAGAGGTGAATTCTCTCACCCGTGTTCATAAATTTCTGACTTGTCTGCAAAGATCCTCATGCAGCCAGTTGAGTCCTCCTAGCTCAGGCACCAAAGGATCTGGACATTTACTTTTCATTAGCTTAAAGAGCATTAGGCAGTTTTGAAGATCTGGGTTCTTTCTAAATGCGTCAGACAAACAGGCCTGAGAATGCTGCAGTGGGATTTTAGACATGCAAATGGGAACAGGTGTATTTGTGGTAAGGACAGAGATATGCAGGAAGACATCCTCCTTTAGCATTTGTCTTAATGTGCTTTCTTTTCATGGTGTGAGAATATTACAGGCAGACCGGAGAGAACCAAAAGAGATGGATTATACATGCTACTTTCTAGTCCCAACAGACCATTACTGGCTGCAGGTCTTGAACATGATACTGCAATTTTCCTGCTCCACATGTGAATAAGAGCTGCAGTCGCAGAGACCAAATTGAGGCACTTTTTCTCCTCTCCCCACCCCCTTTTTTTGAAAAAAAACCCCAACAAAACAGAACATGTAATTTTCTGATGGTTTGCAAGAAAGCCCATTGAGTGCAGAAGATTGCATCCAGGCTAATGGCTGTATTTTTCAGACCCACTGCATAGTACAGAAGAGCCCTTCCTGGTGCTGTCCTGTCAGGAGGACCTGCTGGCAGCTGCTCGCCGTGTTCTGTTGAGATCTTCAGGTCTCGGTGTCCACCTGAGAGCCGGGGTCAGATACAAGCAGCACTTGTGTTTTCACCACTGTGACACAAGTGGTTCTGGATGCTCCCGGGAGCTGGGCAAATGAGTGTCCCCAAGCTCCTGGACAGGACACATTTGAGCAGCATGTTTGATGGCCAGCGTTGAAGGCATCATCTGCAGCCTTTCAGTTTCAAGGGGCTTCCTCCACGCTCCACTTCTGCTCTGCTTGCTGGGCGGGTGCCCCTCTCTAGTAGGTTTTCTGATGAGAAGCGAGACTCTGGAAGCCTTGCAGGGAGATGCATGTGCTGCCAGCCAGCAAAGAGGTTGCTCAGCAAGCCTGGGAGATGTCAGCACGGGCTGCAGCAAGCCTGCTGATTTGCCCCTCGCCGTTTGGAGGTGAGCGTGCAGGGTTTAGTCTGGAAAGGCCCCCACATGYGTTCAGCCTCCGCTTCCCGACAGCTGGAAGGACTGGGCATGACCACAACAAGAGGCACCAGCCCCAGCCTTGCTCTGATTCCAGCATCACCTCGGGGGAGCTCCTGGCTCTGTGCCATGGTGGATCTGGGATGGCTGAACCGACCACCCCGGCCTCTGTCTGTCACAAGGGAGGCATCGGAGCAGATTTGACACTTTTTATGACTCCCTTTCCCAAAGCCATAAAGCACTCGTATGGAAGTTTTGCCATGAAACTCTTCTCTGGGGCCAGCATTTAGAAATCCTCTTCTTTGCTTGCCAGGGTAAATGGAGATGAGAGTTTTATGAGGTATAAACACGAATGAGAGAAGGCTGCAGGGGAGAGTCATATCCTCTGCGCAGCCTTGAGGTCTGTGATGAAGCAAAATGACACCAAATTTGCAGATGCTAAAAATAGTGATAACATCAGTTTGATGTTGCATTTTGTCTTCCTCCTGTAATACAGTAAAATGGCCTGTAATTCCCATTGCAAAATTGGCATGCATGGCTCTTTGAAGATATCATCTTCCGTGTACGTCTGCAGTGGCCAGAGGTGCAAGTCAACCCACTACAGGGCTATGACGAGCCCTGCAAGCAAATAAATAAATAGTGGTGAATAACACAACTCCTTGCAGGGAGCTGCCTAGTCTTGGCCTAACGTGCTTGGGGTGTGAGCTCTTTGGGATGGGGAAAACCTCTGTGCCTCCTACAGATTTAAACCCACCTCTGGTGCTAAGGATGGTAATAGAAAGTGTTAATTTTATATACTACATTATATGAAGTGTAATTTTAGTTCAGAAAAGTAACTCTGAAGCCTTGCTGGCATTAGTCCCAATTTGGAGTTTGTTGGCACTCTGTTTTCGGTGCGGTGTTGTGAGCTGAGCAGCGTGCCAGAGCGGATTGGGAGAGCATGAAAATGCCTTGAAAATATGCRTGTGTTGTGGCTGATTTATTAGCTTTGCAAGTGTGTGCTGCTGCTAGCGTGCAGGGCCTCCTTGCTGGGCACGGCCGTGGCCGGGCCGTGCCTCGCGGCCTCGCCATCTCCCTCCTCCTGCTCCCTGCTCGGCTTTGCCGCCTCCCGCCTGGCCTGGCTTTGTGACCCGCTGGCACTCGGGAGTCTGGAAGCCAGAAATYTCTTCCTTTGGACTGAAAAACAAAAGCTGCTCAGGGGGAGCTAGACTCACATCTGTCAGGAGGCCGGTGGCAGCTACCTTGAACTGCGCCGTTGTTTTTGCAGCGATCCCTCCCCGTTGTTTACGTTCAGGTTGCAGGGGCTCTTCCTATTCCAGGATGCAATAGGAGGGTCGTTTTTCCTCTGGCAGGAGTGGACGGTCCCTCTGTGCAGCCGCCGCCGCTTCCCGCTGTTGCGGATGCCCTGGAGCTGCGAGAGCTGTGTCCGGCCCGCGCTGCCCACGGGGCTCCCACGCTGCCCCACGGGGCTCCTGCGCTGCCCCACGCGGCTCCCGCGCTGCCCCACGCGGCTCCCACACTTGCTCCAGCTCAGCTAGCGGGGAAGCAGTTCCCCCGCAGGGCAAAGCTGCTCCCTTGCCACCGTCCTAGGGGCTCTGCAGCGTCTCCTGCCCTGCTCTGCCTCAACCCCTGCCTGCCCTGGACCATTTTGTACCAGCCCCCGTTACAAGCGACGAGGGCGAGGGGCAGGGCTGGGTCTGGCACAYGTCTGAGTGCAGCTCTCCCCTCTCTTAGGTTTCAGGGCACAGCCTCCAAACAGCAATTATTGCCTCCCTTCTGCTGCTTACAGGAGGTCGCTCTGGAATTGGGTGCCACGTTTGTGTCCCTAGTCAGGCAGGCTGCCATTCAGACCACGGGAAGCCTGGCAGAGGAGAATATACACTTAGGGCCTTATTCCAACTTCATTATTCCCTACGCCAGCAGCATTCCTTGAAGGCTCTGCAAGTTTAGGCTGAATGGCAAGTATTTTGCCTGAATAGCACCCCTGATTGAGACATTGTGGCTGAGTCACAAATTCAGATGAGTGTTGTGGCTGGCAGATTAATCTGGGCTACATGGTAGGGTTTTTCACGCCAACACGGGCAGTGCTAATCACTTCTAATGGTCTAACGGGATTGCTTGGCAGTGGCGCGTGAGGGACTTCTTGATTTGGGAGCTGGATGCTGCAGGAAAAGGCTAGGGGGGAATTCAGCTCGTTGCAGGAGTGACTAAGTAATGTGCTTTCATGCTTAGCAATGGAAAAAATAATAAAAACTACTAGAATAGGAAAGCCGGGAGTCTGCTCATGAGAAATAGAGTGCGGGTAAAACTGTGCTTATGAGGAAACAGAGGCAAAACTATGATTAAAAGCTAGCAATAAACAGTTAGCGTCAAGTTAACATAAAAGTTAACTATAAATGAAACTCAGAAATTTAAGGTGGGCTCTGTAGCTGTTGGTTAGGTGGTGTTATGGAAGCCTTAAACTTTTTTTTTTCATATTTACTCCTCTGAGACTCAGTCTGTGAATGTGGTGGTGTGCTTACAGTGGTCACTATTCATGTGTGTCATTGCCATGTGGACACAGATAGTAATATGTTTTCTCTGCATTTGGTTATTGTCAGCTTATTGGCTACTATAATTTTATGTAATTTCACACCTCTGTAACTGTTGGGAAATTACTTTCCTGCAATCTCTACATTTATAAATATGATAAAAAAAAGTCTTTCAAGGAATTCTGGTCACTTTATGGGTGCATTCAATGCCATTGTTCTCTCATTTCAGGTTATTGAAGGAAAGCTGGCCCCTTTCTTGGGGAAGGTGATCAAGTTTGCCACCTCGCACGTGTACAGCTGCAGCCTCTGTAGCCAGAAGGGTTTCATCTGCGAGATCTGCAACAATGGAGAAATCCTTTACCCCTTTGAGGACATTTCCACCAGCAGGTACTCTATGTCACTCCTACCTCTGATGCACACATAGGATCCTTGCACATTCCAGCCCTAGTGAAGTCTTTTGAAATAACTAGGGACCGGATCCCACAGCTTCACATTTCTGGATAGCTGTTCTAGATTACTTGCCTAGGAAGGCCACCATGAGACATTATTATTATTATTATTATTATTATTATTATTATTATACTGCTATTTTCAGGTGGGTGTGTAAATGTAGGTATATGGAGGTTCCTATGCTCTAAATAAAACAAAAAAAAAAAATTTATTTAGGTTTCTGTGCAGTACTTGATGACAGAACAGGAATGAGAAGTAAAGGAGACTATATCTGGTTGCAGTTGCATGGAAAACCTCGCAAAATGCAGGGAACCAGAGCAGATTTGGCAGCACAACTGTGCTACTAAATGTCTTTGATTTTGAATAAAGATTGGTTTTTTTTGTTCTTTATTTTCCCTGCAACAGGAAGACAGTATACATGGCAGCACAGCACAAGTGCCCTTCTTGCTTTTTCACATACAGTCCTTTTCATTTGTTCTCCAAACAGTTGTGTTGAAGGAGAAAAAAGAACAGAAAGCCAGATTAGAGAGACACCTTTGGAAACACTCAAGAGTAAGCTGTTCAAAATGCTTCATTTAGAAACTGATTCCCTTGCACATACAAAGATGTTAAACTGGGGCTAACGAAGGCCTCCTGTTTGGGGATTTCAGCACAGTGTAACTTTCAAAGACTATTTGCACATTCTTTCCCCAGATTCACATTCCAAAAAATGCAGAGAGACAAAGCAGTGGACAGAAGTTAAACAAGGTGTGTAGTTCAGCGCAGTAAATGGTCTTCAAGACAAAAAAAAATGCATTTGGAGTACACAAGGAGGTAGGTTTARTTAAAAAGGGAGAGACTAAGATGAAATACAGCATGATGGCTRTGGAGACTGTATAAATCAATTAAAAAAACCTTGATGAAAACGTATAAAAGTATTTAGGAAGCAAGCTCACCTGAAGCATCTGTGTATTTGATGTGCCTGGGAGGTCTTTGGTAGCAAAAGCATCTCTGGGTGTACGTTACTCCCTTGTCCTTCGTTTGAGATAGAACATACCTTGTAATTATGGAGTTTAAAAACTTCTGGACCCAAGTAACRTTTGTCAGCATGCAGTAAAAGCCAAAGAAACTGCTATCTCTGTTTTTACATGAATTAGAAGCCATACATTACTTTTGTTGAAGTTTCACAAAGGTGGAATCATGGTTGATACCATGCCAAAAAGAGCACTTTTTGCTAATGGTTTTTAATCAGCATGAAAAGTTCTCCAGAATTTTATTTTATTTTATTTTATTTTATTTTATTTTATTTTATTTTATTTTATTTTATTTTATTTTATTTTATTTTATTTTATCCCTAGAGGTCTTTCCGTTTGCTCCTTTTGTACCCCTTATCACTAAGCCTTCCTTTATCCTCACCTTTTTCCATTTCCTTTCCCTGTTAGTTTTCTCATCTCATTACTGCTCCTGTGAGCCCAGGCACCTTTGTGAAGCTAACAGGATTATTTCAGTCCYGTGTTTTTGCTCTTCTCCACCTTCGGGCTGCCAGGGAAATGTTTGACTGTGCAACTCCACCAGCTGTGGAGCGGTCGGGAGAAGGCCTGGTAGAAAGAAGGTTTTGGTGACGGGTTCCATGTTATGCAGGTGACAGAGGTGTCTGAGGTAGGTTCCTTACCACCACAGAGAGACTCATAAGGTGAAGAAAGAGACTCGTTAGAAATAGGTGGATGTGCGTAATAAACTAAACTGAAACTGTAGACAACACAACATTAATGTGAAGACTTGCAGTTATACCCCAAATTTCTGATGGTGTTTACTTGGCTTTGCTTGTTAGCTAAGTGTAGAACATATGACTGAGTAGGCACTTAACTCAGATTTGTGATTCACTTGCACTGTTCTCAGTCCATCCTGCRTAGTGAGAACTGACTACAGGTCTCTTTTTGTGTCCTCTTTTTGCTAGAACTGCCACATCCATGTACTCAAACATTTTGTGCACAAGGCCACCTTGGCTTTGAAGTAGCCCAGCAGTAGCTGCTGCAATGACACAACAGCAGCTCCACGCTGGACACCTGGTTTTCCCTCTTGCTTTCAGATATTCCTCACCTACTTGGAGCATCTATCACCAAAGGAGCCTTCCAGGATAGATGCTCCAAAGGGGCGGCAGCTTTTCCAACCTCGCCTCTCTGTTGAACATCTGAGAAGTGAAGGGTGTTTGTGTGTTTTGCTGCGCGTGTCGAGGGGGCGTTTGTGTTTCTGGCTGCCTCCCTGACCTCTCGTGCTCTTTGGAGAAGAGTGGCAGCTGTCAGAGCGGCCCCGTGATGCCAGGGAAGGTCCCAGCTGCCTGACAGCCTTGTGGGCTCTAAGGGAAGACCCGGGGCAGAGAGACTGTTGCCCTCCAGAATATTCTCATCAGTTCCTGGAGCAGTCTGCAGCTGAAATGTATCAAGGGACGGGCTCTTGCTTAGATATATCTGGGAGAGAAGGGGCCTCTCCTGAGGGACAGAGTTTCTCTTGGGTCGGGTTGTTTGCTCAGGAGTCGTTTCTGTCAGTGCTCGAGCAAACAGAGCGAGTACCTGGGCTGTGCACTCCTCAGTGCTGAGTACACACGCACTGCATCCCCTCCTCTCCCTAATCAGCGTGACACATTCCTCTGTTGGCAAACGCTTCCAAAACAAACACAGCCTTAACAGTCCCGTAATTAGYGGGCAGCGTCCCCCCGGCCCGCGCCCCGGTGTGCCGGTGGACTCCGAGGTCCCAAAGGCTTCTGCTGGTGTCCCCTTTCTGTGGCTTTCCATGGGAGGTGGCCATTAGGCACGAAGCTCCATGAAGATTTCCATTCCATAAAGAAAATCTGAAAAATTAGCCCGTCCTTTTGGGCACCTCTTCCAGSATTTGATTCCTCCGTCCTCCTGCCCTTTTTTCCCTCATTTATGTAGAAGTTCAACACTTTCTCAATATCTGCCTCTTTCTGAAGGGCTTGAAATCATGATATTGACTTTTAAAGGCTCCTGAGTTAATTACACATTTCAAGGAGCAAATGGGCAAGTGCTGTAAACTGTCACAGCTCTGCTTTGGCCGGAGCTTCGGCAACTTAAGCCACCTTAGCATCTGCCTGCTCTTTAATTTCTTGGGTGAAAATCTGCCCTGGTTTTAAATTTAGCCACTAAATGCATAAAATTATGTTATCACGTCACTAACTTCATTTACAAAAGCATTGAGAAATAAGTTTAAATATCCCTGATTATAAACTGGCTGGTTAGAGCTATACTTGCATGTTGGCTCCCAACTGGCCCTTGAGTCGTCACCATTGTCATGGTAAAAAGTTTGTTTCTCTCTCCTAAAATACAAAACAAAAGCAGAAAAGAAAAAATGCCCATGCACTGAGTCCATAATACACGACCTTATTTGTTTTATAACCTAAAACACCTTTAGCAAGTTTTAAATCTTTAGGAATAGTGAGAAAAAAGCCACTGGAATGAGTATAGATTTATTCAGAGCAATTAGGTAATTACAATTTTGGTTGAAATTAGTATATGCTGCCTAGTTAAGAAAGTTTAGGTCTTACCCGTGTGTCGGCACACGAGCCACTGCTCTCATGAGTGAAGGGCTGTGTTGGGCTGGCAAAGCTGCTCCCTCGGCCAAGAACTGCTCAGTCAATTCCTTGCCTTTCTGTGGTGCTTGTGGATGTGTATGAACCGTGCAGAGTGGTTCTTTTGTGCTCATACCCATTTATCAAGGCCAAACTGTGTTCACTTTGCAAAGTTAATTTGCTCTGCAGATCACGTAGACAAAGATACAAARCAGAAGAGCCAGGTTTAAAATAGACGTGCCACAGACCAGGCTCGACTTTATCAACCAGCTTGGATGCCTTTGGCCACCATYCTGATAAGCCCTGCGAACGTGCTTAACTCTACCCAAAGTGAGAAGCCGTCCTGAGGGCTCTGAGGCCGGCTTAACTTCCTGCATGTGCCAAGGCTTTGCAAGGCTGCAGCTGGCTGCTTTAGGGATGGTCRCTGGAGGACCTACACTCGGCGTGTGGTTTCCCACCTTACCCAGTGGTTTGGTGGGTGCTGGAGTGGGTGTTAGTGCTGTGGGAGGGGAGGGGACAGGCTGCCAATGGGTGCTATGTTAGTGCCCACTTTCTTCCATTCACTTCCTACCCCGGAGACCCTTTTCTCCTCCCAAGGCAGATTCCCTGGACTCGTTCCTGGCAACTCTAACAATATCCCCGCACGTGCGTGATGGGCATCGATCGTCTTTGGGGCTGTTTGTGCAGTCAGGGAACACGAGCCAGGCCTTCCTTTATTTCTTCTCCTTGTGTTTTGCTCAAGTCCCCAGGTCCTGGAGGGCACCTGGAGCGACACCGAAGGGCTCGCTGGGGACCTGTCCCTCATTCCTGGTTTATTTGGAGTGTTCAGGGTTTATTTTGTGTGTTTATTTTGTGTGTACCTTTGAGGCAGTCTGCCTTTTCGCGTGGCAGCCCCAGTTCAGCACCTCAACGGCGGCCTGATGCAAGGCAGAAATACCAGTATAGCCAGGGGTATAGCCAAATAATCTAGAATTATTTGAGCCACRAGCCTGTGAAATACATGAAAACAAATTGTCAGAATTTGCAATTTGCCCAATATTGATATGGGTATGTATAAAAAGCCCATACTCAATGGGACATATTAATATTGGCCATTCCTCAGCACAGAAGGAATGATTTTGTGCTTTTAATGTAGAAGGTTTTCTTTTGTAAGTAATAATAATGATAGCTCTATTAAGCCTATCTGGCCTGTCTCACTTTGGAAGGGTTACTCTTTCTTTCAGTGCAATGGGAATTATTTAGAGGACTGAATAATTCGTTGCATTTCTTTCACTCCAGCATTCAAAAACATAAAAAACCCTCTAGCATTAAAACATAAAACACCTCCTATTCTCTCAGCAGAAATTAAGCTGGGCAGGAAAGAGGGAGGAAATGGAGAAAATACCAAAATAGAAAGGAAGCTCTTTAAGATGCCTTCGTCGAAGGCTGGAAGTCGTTCTGGAAGCCACGTGCCGTGCTCACCAATTGTACAAATAATGCTTGGCAARTAGCGAGCTGCTATTAATGTGCAGGATCACAATATCATTCATTACGGAAGAAAACATGAAAGGCCCGAATAACTACAGGCTCATCAGCTTATTATCAGCCGCGCATTGAAGTGCCACAAAGGATGTAAAGACTTCTGGCCTCTAGCCAAAGAATGGAAGAAAATTCAGAGATAGCACCTGAACCACGAATTACCTGCGACAATAACCRGGGTTAAGAGGGAGGTGACTAAGTGCAGTGAACTATCACACAAGCCTTTTGTAGACCACAAAATGTATTTCTTCTGTGGGGAAGTAAAAACGTTTTGGAGCACCATGGTTTGCAGATAGAAAACTGGGAAACTTCCACACAGAAGCCTGGTTTCAGACTGGTTTTATCTTCTYCCAGCAAGGTGAGGGAGGGTTAACCCGCTGACATCTCCAGGGTTGTTTCACCCTATTTGTGCCTTCAAATTTGGCGTGGTGGAAAAGGAAGATGTGGGTGGCTTGGCCGGGGTAACTCAGGTTGCTCCAGGAGCAGCTCCGGCTCTGCACCACGGAGCCGCCTTGGTGGGGAGCAGACAGGGACAGTGGCCAAGRAGCAGCGCCGGGCGCCCGGGCTTCGTGTGGATCTTTTATTGCTTTCTCGGTGGATGACCATGGGCTGGGGCAGCAGGTGTGCCGGCTCCTCTCCCATCCTGCTGGCATCCATTTCAGCAGCCGTTTCTGGTAAGTGTTGCCCCCTCCACAAGGGCTGGGGGAATTAGGGAATGGGCATGAGGAGCGGTGGTGCAAGAGCACAAGGTTACGCTCCCCATCCAGCACTGCCCTCCAGCCACTGGCAGTGCAAATTGCTGACTAACGAGGTGAATTAGCTCGATAAAATCACCATTAGTGTCAGCCCAGAGTGATGTGAAGTTTCCAAGACGTGGCTGTCCGCTCGGCCCCTCTCTCATCCATTAGGGTGTCCGCGTGTGGAGCTCCCCATCCCGCCGAGCACGTGCTTTGTTTAGGCAGGCTGCTAATCCCGAGGAAATCAGGGGGACACCAGTCCCCATACGGGTGTTTATGTCCTTTACTGGGCCACAACTGTAGCACACATTCTCATTCTGGTCATAGAAGTGATAAATGTCTGCGTGAGCTGGTTTCTTGGTTCAAAAACTGGTTTTGACGTATCAGGCCTAGAAGTAATTGCACAGGAGTCAAGTGTTAGTGAAAAAGAGCATGGTATTGAACAGATATAATACTTTGGGGCCGTATATAGCATATAAAATATAACCAGATCAGGAATTGCTTTATAAAAGTTATAAAGGCAAATGTAGGCAATATAACTAATAAAGCTGTATTGGTTTATGAACTTCTCTCAGTGTTGCCAGCCCGCAGGTGGAATATCACTGCTTTTAAAGGTAGCTTTTATTTGCCTTTTGGTTTCTGAGAGTTTAGAGTTTGTTCCTTTGTGTTTTTAGTTTTTTCTCACCGTCTTGAAGGCAAGAGCCTTACTGCTTAAAGAGAGGTCAGTAAGTGAGGGCAGAATAACGGAGGCTCAGACTCTTCCCCTGGTCATTTGAAAGTGCAAAGCATTGCAAGACTCACGAGACCGCGAACTCACAAAGCTGATCAAAGCCCTCACTTATATCCCAAAATTGCTCTAAAGATTCGTGTTTTGTTGCTTTCATTATCRCTTTATGCAAATGTAAACCAAGACTTAGCTTCTCGGACGCTGCCATCCTTTTGCCGTTGTCATTTGACGCAAAGCTGCAGCCAGACAGGGCTTACTCATCGCTGCAGGTAGTTACTTGTGTGGACAAGATGAGAGCGTAGCCTGCTCTTGAAAGGCACCATCTAGACCTGGGGATTGACCCGCRAGACGTTACCCACTCCGAGTGCCCCAGAGCCGTCCAGGCCCCCTCGTAGAGTGTTTGATTTGTCCACAGTTGTCATATATACACAGCTTTGAATGCCAGCAGCTGCAGTTAGGATGGGCTTGGATGTCCTTCCACGTGGCACAGAGCAGGAATTACAGTCCGCTCATTTTCTGTGACTCATTCCTTGTTTGCTGAGTGACTTTTTCCCCGTTGCTGAAGCGGCCTGCGCTTTGCTGCTTCCAGAAGGGCTGAGCAAAGCGCTGGCATTGTCAAGAGCAAAATGTCACTGCTTTGTTGTTCTAAATGCCAAAATACATCTTAATGTGAGTATTTCTTTACTTAGAAACCAAAGCATCAAAATTAACTTTCATAAACCACTAAAAACAAACAAAAAAATCCATTAAAGACCTAAATGCTACTTTTAAGRAGTATTAATCCTTTCAGTGATTTCTATCCATACAGTGGAAGTGCTYTGAGGGCTTCCCAGCAAGTGCAAGTGGATGGAAGCCAACTGGTTTTGGTAGCCCCTGAGCGGCTTTGCAGCAGCTTTACCGAGGTGTGGGCCAGCTTGTGTCTCATGCAGCTTTCCCTCTTCTAAACCCCAGCACCCTTGGAGCTGCTGCCCCCATCTGAAGGGTGCCCACACTGCTTTCCAAGTCCGCTGCATGCTCTGGTCATGCTTTGCCATTCACCTTGATGCTGATTTGTGTTTGCAGGTGTGAAAGCTGCGGGGCCGTCTTCCACGCGGAGTGCAAAGTGAAGGCTCTGCCATGTCCCCGCTGCGTCCGCAAGGAGCTGCAGAAGAAGCAGAAATCCTTCTGGAGGCGACTGAATATGGACGAAAACTTTGAAGAGTCCTACAACATGTTTGAGTTGTCCTACCAGAACACCTGACTGCCCCGGGGCGGCCCCAAGAGAGTCTCCTCCCCTGGTGCAGCTCAAGCGAGCTCTCGGCTCGGCCAGGCAGAATCCCTTTTGCAGAATATTACCTGACCACCTTCCCCATCTGTGAACAGCAGCTGCCGAAGTGGCCACGAAGCCCTTTTGGCTTGGAAATAATGGTGGCCAAATTGCGTTTTGCATTGAAGTCCGGCCAGTAGCGCTCATACAAAATGTGGTTTACTTGAAATGCTTTAGCTCTATCTAATTAAGCACCCAACCTTTTCTTTTCCACGTCTGGAGAAGACTTTTCCTCAAGGCAGAGAATATTTCCTGCTGTGCCCATGTTCTTAATTATTATTTTTCATGTTACTCATTTAGAATTGATGGCTCATCTGCTTATTTATCTGTATTATTTATTCTTAGCCTTGGCAGAGGTTTTGGTGAGGTGTTTTACAGAACCCAATGGGGCAGGAGTGGTTTTAAGCCCACATGCTCCTTCTGACATGGATACGGAGTTGCATTTCCTCATGTTTCCAACTGGAGAACTATTTTTCAAGGATCARTGCATTTATTTGTCACTCCTCTCTGAGGAAAGAGAGATATCTCCCATCAAAAACCCTACTTAAGATGTTTGCAAGCATAAGATGCAGAAGAATTCCCTTAGCTATGTTTATGTATTTATAACCAGCTCCTTGGAATATTACCTAAGCAGATAAGCAGGGACCTTAGTGTGGTTTTGGCTCAGGCTGGGTTTATGGTAACGATCCATCACTGAAGTCCATTCAGTTTTATGATAGTTATTCTTGATCTGGCTGAGGCCACATCCTCGACTCCAGTAACCCAATGATGTTTCTGACTTCCTGCTGGTCTCGTATCTGAGGACGCCGTAAGTGTTCACTTGGGTTTTGTTTTTTCTCACATGAAGTTTACTTGATCTGCTTCTAACCTCAGCCTCCTAGACTGCTAGACAAAAAYGTGTCTTGTCCTTCCTTAGCTAGAGAATATCTCCAAAGCTGTGGAACGTATTTATTTCCCTTGCTGTGTTCGTGTGCAGTTTGTGTCCGTGCTCTCTGGAAGCTCCAAGGATTTTATACCTTCTATGGTGACTTGCATGGTGGAGAGAGGAAGTTCTTCAAGGTATCGTTCTGCCTTACCTACCTGGCACACGGAGGAGTATTAAACACGGAATATTGCATATATTGAGGAAGAGGAGTATGTGATAGGTTTGATTAGGGAAATATATGTGCCTCACCACTGACAGGGTGTTTAATTCATGTGGTGTCACCTCCTTTGGGTACTTGGGGATCCTCCTCACTTGAATGGACATTCTTAGCTCTTTTCCCTACCCTGCGGAAATGTGTATTGCATACATACAAATGCATTCATATGTATGTACATATATATGTGTGTGTCTATAGAAAGCAAATACGGCTTCAGGAAAAAACTCCACAGTCATGTGCATGTGTATTTCTTCTCCCTTTTCACCTAGGGTTGCTAAAATGCAGAATATTGATCTTTGCTTCCTATATAATCTGTGGGCAGATGCATTCAAGGCAGAAAAGCAGGCTCGATCACTGAAGCAGCTCCCTAAGGCCTGGACTATTTTGAATAAAAGAGCAGGGTCCATCACGTTGACGTGAGGGGTCAAGAAAGCTGCACAAAGGCTTGCCTTGTGCTGGGGGATATACACTTACCTCCTCAGCCTCCAGTAAGTAGCTGAATCCGAGCTTTTCCAAACGAGTGCAAGTACCAAACATATCGAGGCATGTTTATAGCTGTAGACTTTAGACAACCAGTGCCTTTCTGTTCCAGAAGTCCTTCTCCCTGGTTTTCTCGGGAAGCGGGCTGCTCTCAGCCGTCATCCCCAACGCTCCTCGCAGGCCCGTCGCCTCGCGGGGAGCTCCTGGCTGCAAAAACACCCTGGGTCTTTCCAAGCCCTGTGGATCCTTCCCCYCTACGCCCATGCGGGTGGGTGTTACCTGTGGGGACCTCTCGCCCCGTCCTGCCCGCGCATGGAATAGGTTGGAACAGGAACATTTCCTCATGGATCGTGTGGAAAACGGGCTGCTCATCTCCTTCAAAACAAACGACTGTCTTAGCTTTATTTTTTCCCTCTCTTTTATCCACATCCTCTAGCTTTTCTTTAACAGGGGAAAGAKGTATCTGTGGGATGTAAACTGCAGCTTTTTTTAATGTGGTCAAACCATAGCAAGAGAAATTCACAAAATCTTGCTGAATTTTGATGTCCAAATTCAGCCTGGTCCGAATCTGTGTGTAAAACAAATCTTCAGGCACCAATGTTTGGGTTTTTACAGGTAAACTCTTCTTACTAGGTTAATTTTTAGTGTTCTTGCTGCACTAAAATTAGGAGAAGGGAAATGGCCGTTCTGGATCCATTTACTTCTCTGCCCGGAAATATTTGGCGCTCCTATGTAGAAAAATTTCTATCACCTTCCTATGTCTGCCATAGGGGATGGAAAATGCTCCTTTTGGGATGTGACACAGTGTCCTGGCTGGCACTTCCCAGCATGAACTTGTTGCTGGGCTGATTGAAGCAGGTAGTTGTGCTGGACTCCTAGAAAAGGGGGTAGGATCTTTTTTTGGAGAGGAAGTGGAGTTCTTCGTGCTACTCCACGGGCTCCAATGGCCCTCTCAGGGTTGAATCATCAGGACACCTTTAGCAACGCTCATGTTAAGGTGTCTCTTGATAATTAATATCAGGATACTGTGTGCATTTTATGGATTGATGATCATGTCCTGCAACACTAAAAAAAAATAATAAAAAGCAGCATAGGGTGCCAGTGTGCAGTGAAAGGGGCAAGCTGGGGGCTTCTACTTTGTTTTCTCCCTGTAGTGACAGAAGCCACTGAATTTCTGTGCTTACTGAGTCACTGGCTGCATTGCAGCCACCTGTTGGTCTGTATAAAAGGAATTTAATCAAATAATTGTTTTAATCTGATCTCGGGTGTCCTGCTGCAAGCCAGTCCCTCCCTTCTCGCCGTCTCTCCTTTGCTGACAGGGATGAGTCCTTCAGGCTTTGTAGCTCGTTGCGTTGACGCTGAGCCAGTCGAGTCTGATGATTTTCTCATTCATAATTTGCCTTGCAGGGTTCCCCGTCCCCGTAGCAGTGCCTTACAGTGCTGTACGTTAGCATGGCTCTCCCTACATGGGATTTCCTGACTCAACCTGCTCCTTGTGAACCTGTAGACCTGAAGCGAAGCCGCCCCGTGGCTGCACGTGCTGCTTTGCCAGCCCTGCATGGTACAGATATCAGCTCGAAGACACCAAGCTGCAGGGAAACCCCCCACTTTTGCTTAACTTGGTGCCTTAGATTTCCCCAAAGCACCGCTCTTGTCAGGAATGCTCTGCCACCGTGTTGGCCATCGAGCTGAGAACCCCAGCTCCTGCCTCGCTGGGTGCGATCACCATAAAAACTACTTACACGTTTTGAGAGGGAAATACASGGAAAGTTCACGTGGAGAAGGCGCTGATTTCTGTTCCTGATATTGTGGGGAATAACTGAGATTGTGGGGAATCTCCGGCGGGAAATGAGGCTGTGCTTACATGGGACCTTGAAGAGCTGTGCGCTGTGACACTGGTGAGGTCGGGCTTGGGAATGGGCTCTGCTCATGGTGCTCCTGCCCTGGTGGAAAAGGCTTTTCCCAAGCTCACTTATTTATATACCCCTGCCTAATCGGGGCTTTAAACTAATGTAGATCCTTGAATACACACTGCTGTTTTAGTGGGGAAAAAAAGGATTTATTTCAGTTTTGCTTATGCACTTGTCTGCTACAGAGTTGATCTTGCTTTAAAAAGGTATGTGTTTTAAACTGATTTTTAATGGCACCGACACCTGTTATAGCAGGTTAGCCCTATAATCCCTCCTGGGCTTGACCTAAACACATTGATGAGCGAAAAAAAGGGACCTTTTAAAGGTTTTACACCTAACCTCTAAAGCCAGCCTCAAAACTGCCTTGAGTTCAACCAATTCCAGCAGTTTGGGGGCTGGCGGGAAGCTGGCGCTGACCCCAGGGCGGCTGCACTGCTGCTCCCGGGGTCGCTCCGAGCTCTCCGTCCCACCCCGGGCACCCGGTCACCGCGGGCACTCGCACACGGGTTTTGGCACCAGTGGCAGTGCCCCACGTGTTTCCAAAAACCACTATGTGTGTGTGTGTGTGTGTGTGTGTGTGTGTGTGTGTGTGTGTGTGTGTGCGCTCATCTCCCTGTTAATTTATTGGCACCATCGTTATTTGTGTTTTGTTGCTCTTTGTTTGTTCTGGTTTAGTTACTTTCGACAAGGATTTTTTAAAAATTATCTGCAACTGTTGGGCAATAGTCTTAATTTATTGTTGGTGGGTAATGATGTTATAATTTACGTTCAGGGAGTTGAATCGCTCGTTGACACTTGAGCAGGGTTTCTTCGGGCCATTAGTGACAGCACCAGAGCACCAGTCCCTCGTGTATAAAGGCAACTCTCAATAAATACTACAAAAACATCACTTGTGTCCTTTTTAATGTGATTTCTGCTGGGAACTGCACCACGAGCAGGACAAAAGCTTTGGAAGATGCTGGTTTCCTTGTGAAAGCTAAGCAAGCTGCTGCTGGAATGTCCCAAATCTAAGCGAATTATCATAGTTTTGTTCTGAGGTCCGAGCCAGGACGTCTCTGGCAATACCACCAGTGGCTGCACCCGGCCCCGGGTGTTTGGATTCCTGGTTAAATCTCCCAAGTGTTTCAGAAGCTGCCGGGGTCTGTAAAGCCCCAGCAGCAGCCAGAGGAGTTAACTGGGAGCTGAGTTGTTGGGTGGCACCTTTGGACGTGGAGCTCCCACTTGACGTGTCCAGTGGAGCCGCCTTTCCCCCCGTCCTGAAGGGCTCGGGGGTCATCCCGCCCTGCAGGGTTTCCAGCTCGGAGCAGGAGGCCCCAGGAATGCCAGTGCTCCCGCTTGCAGKCACCTTTGGACTTCATCCCTGTGAGGAAAGCGGCCGGGAGCCGCAGGTTAATGTTTGACCTGGGCTGCACCGAGGARCCGTGCGCATGAACTGTCCCTCGCCTCGTATTTGCTTTGCAAAGTGAGCAAATTTGGTTGCGACACCTCGGCCCCCTGTCGCTGCCCTCCGCGCCGGGCCGAGGAAGAGCTGCCGGGAAGGAARCGGAGCAGCCGAGCGGAGATCCCGGATCGGGGCGGCCCTGGGAGGAGCGCCGGCCGTGGCCTGTTTGTCTTGGCCTCACACCGCTCTATTTGAGCAGCTTCGGCCCTCAGCACCCCTTCCCGCCTCCCGCCCGTGCCCTGTTTGGGTGCAGGAGCCCTTCACCAAAATAACCTGTTCCAGAGGCACCCTGGGGCTGGGGTTTCGGGCAGCGTTTCCTCGGGGTTCCCTCAGGAACAGAAGTGCTGGAGTTTTTCTTCCTGTTGTCCTCACAGTGGGGCTGAGCCCTGCACTTATTATCCCAATAWAACCTTACGCGGGCAGCCCTGTTCTAATCCCCACCAAAGTCATGCTTGTTGGGTAATTCTCTTACCCTTTTTCATTAAKTTATTGACTGGCCTTTAGCTCAGCAAGCCCCAGAAAACCTGGGCCCTTCCAAGTCCCTTGGGAAACAGGAGAAAAACTGGCGGTTGCTTCTGATGCCGAGCGCTGGGATAGGGCAGTACCCAGAGAGCACCCACCTCATCCCTCACCCTGGTAGGACAGGTGCCATTGTGCAGCCAGATAAGCTGCTGTGTTAGGCAATGCGAGATCACATCTCTCAGAGCTCTCAACCCTGTAGGTCCAACACACGCAGCCTTCTGGACTCTGTGCTTCCGTGTTCCCCTCATAATCAATGCTTTGCAGTAGATGGAACCGGGAATTAAGCACCTCTTACGGCCAAGTCCTGTGGCTGCTATTATATCCATCCTGATGTGATCCAACCTGAGCGTGCCAGGCCAAGCTCCAGCTCTTCCCCAAAGGTCAATACGGTTCATTTTAAAAACTAAGCCTTAGCTCTCAGGCCCAAATTAAAAATATTCGGTTTCATTCGGGAAGTGTCGCTATGGCCAGTTCTCTGACAAAGGCAACTGCAGCCTGCCGCATCAAAAAGCCTTTTCCTAAAGGATGGGTTTGTAAGGGCTGAGGGTTAAGACTCCCAGCTTAGCATTGGATTTATTGTTTGATTGATTTTCTAAAAGGTGGCACAATG